AAACAGGTCTCGACCTTCCCGCCACATGCTGCGACAGGGTCATGACATATGTGGTGCGCATGCGCTGATCTAGAGCTTGCGTTTGCGGGTCATCCACTTCAGAGACTGGGGGGCACACGCGCACGCCGCCGCACGGGCATGCCAAATCGCTCGGTGACCCCCTGTTTTCTCACAGCTTCATCGCGTAACTGTTCGACCACTGACAGCCCATTGGCCCTTGTAACAGAGAAGATGCCGCAAATTCTGCCCGCGAGGGCGCGCTGAATTCATCCGAAAGTGAAGGGCTTCTAGCAGTTCTGTCAATCGGTGGCCACATGCGAATCCTACCCTCATCCCCCACGACTTCTAAGGGGAGGGTGGGGTTCACTTCGTTCGGGAGCTCCCGAGCGGAGTGAACACCCACCCCCCCTTAGAAATCGTGGGGGGTGGGGGGTAGTAGGGGAACAAAAAGTGACATAAACATAAAAGCTCTGAGGTCCGCGCGGATTTCTCGGATCGGCGCTGGGCCCCCCTCCCTGGCGCGCGGAGCGCGCCAGGGGCGGCGCCGGAGGCGCCGCCGGGGGGCCCCAGCGCCGATCCGAGAAATCCGCGCGGACCTCCGAGTTTGTATGATTATGTCCCTTTTTGTTCCCCTAGGTAGGGTTCACCTGTGGCCACCTAGTCTCGGGTATAGCCAGGACCCCGGGTAAGGGGACCCGGTTAGTGGTAGGGCCCTGGGCCCCTCAATTGGCCAGATTCACTAAACCAGGTTTGCCGTAGCTGGTGTGTTTCGGGCGACGGCAGTTCCGGTCAGTGGAGATGGGACGGGGGGGCGCCCCCGGTACAAATCGCTAAACCAGGCTCCACCAAACCCAGTTCTGCCAACGCCCGATAGTCAAGCGATACCGTGCGGGCCACCTAGTCAAGCCATCGGGCGTTGGCAGAACCAGGCTCCGCCAAACCCAGTTCTGCCAACGCCCGATAGTCAAGCGATACCGTGCGGGCCACCTAGTCAAGCCATCGGGCGTTGGCAGAACCAGGCTCCACCAAACCCAGCTCTGCCAACGCCCAATAGCCACCCGTGGCCACCTATAGTCAGGCGAGGCCGTGCGGGCCACCTGGCGCGCGCAGGCCCGAGACGTTCCGCCGCCACCGCGCGTGCCTGCCAAGCGCTGTCTGTCAACGTCCTATGCTGCGCCGGGGGGCCACGCGCGCACGCCTCCGCGGTGCGCGCCCGCCAAGGTCCTCCCTCCTCTCTCCTCCCTCCATCCCTCCTCCCTCCTCCTCTTTCTTCTCCTCCTCCCCCTCCTCCTCTTCTTCTCCTCCCCCTCTCTCCCTCCTCCCTCCTCCTCCCCCTCTCCTCCTCTCCTCCTCCTCTCCCTCCTCCTCCTCCTCCCCTCCTCTTTCCTCTCACCTCCATCTCCTCCTCCTCCTCCTCCGCCTCCCCCTCCCCCTCCTCCCCCTCCGCCCGGTGTTTGACGGTCCAACAGGTCGAGCACACGTGCGCTCCCAGACACGATCGCGTCGTTAAAAAGGGCGGTCGTTTTTTCGCCATTTTCGGCCCCTCGGGGCCCTCGCCGGGCCCCGGGACCGTGGAACAACGATTCAGGATGAAAAGCCGGCCTTGGGGAAAGGGTCTGGATTTCTGGGGGCGCCGTCCTGAAAGATTCGAAACGTCGCATGTCTGGGTTCGAAACCATGCGAACATCAACGGGTTGTCAATACAGCCATCGAATGGCCTTCGGCCTATTCCACCACCGTGCCCTGGGTTGTGGGAATAAAGCCCATTGGATATTCGTTGGGATCTCGTGGGGGGCCTCTCGGCGGCCTCTTGGAGGCAGTTTCGAGGCCTCTTGGGGATCGTTTTGGTGCCTCTGGGGGCATCTTTCGGGCCTCTTGGGGGTCTCTTGGGGTCTGCTGGGCGCCGCCTCTGGGGGCCTCCTGGGGGCCTCTCAGGGCGGAAGTCTCGGTTTTTCAATTTGTGCTCCCTCTCTCGGGCCCTTTTTGGAGCCGTCTTGGAGCCTTGGGCCGCCTTGCGCGCCTCTTGGGCCGTCCTGAGGCCCTCTTGGGCCGTTTTGGGGCCCTCTTGGATGCCGTCTTGGGGCAATCTTGGGCGCCTCTTGGGCCGTCTGGGAGCGTCAGGAACCCGAAAAGGCGAGAAGGCCTAACTCCTTCCAAAACGTAGGGAAGGTCTCTGTTTTTTGCCTCCTGGGGCCCTCTTGGGAGGCCTCTTGGGGCGGCTTGGAGGCCTCTGGGGAAGCCTGGGGGCCATCTCGAGCGTCTCGGAGCGATCGTTGGGCGATTCGGGGCCCCTCTTGGGCAGTCTTCGGGGCCTCTTGGGGGCCCTCTCTTCCTCGCAAGTCATGCCCACCTGTCCTCCAAGGTCGGGCTTCGTGGCTACATCAGGTTCGGGAGGGGGAGAAAACGGGATGCAGATGACGGATGAAGGAAGACGGATAACGGAGAAACGGGGGCCCTCTTGGGGCCCGTCTTGGGGCCCCTCTAGGGCAGGCGTCGGGGCCTCTAGGGGGCCCTCCTGGGGCCCGTCTTGGGGCCCCCGTTTCGGGCCCGAAGGAGGTCCTGCGACAAGGTGCCGGGCACCCCAGAAGAGCACGCGCCAAGCCCTAGCAGATGTCAGAAATTCGGGTTCTCGGGCCCCCTCAGGTACACGCCGGTCGTTGAAAGTAGGTATTTTTGGATTCCCAGATCCCAGTCTACTTCAAGCCCTTCCTACTTCAAGAATCGGCAAGCTTTTGTTATGTTTTGTGGTTCTCTGGGAGGGCCTGGACCCAATCCACTATATCAGCCTTCCTACTTCCTGTTTCTACCTGCTTCTTCCGACCGACGTGGAAAGGCTCCTCGGGAGTGGGGGCGTGAGGCTCAGAGGATCGGAGAGAGGGCCCAGGGGACGCGCCCGCTCCGTGCCCAGCGGCACAGTGGCGGATGTCGGGCTCTCCAGAGTTCTCCAGGCGCACGTTTCCTCCTCCTCCTCCTCCTCCTCCTCCTCCTCCTCCTCCTCCTCCTCCTCCTCCTCCCTCTCTTCCTCAGCAACGATCGTTACCATAATCCTCAGCGTTATCACTGCCATCGTCATCATCACCGTCATCATCATCATCATCATCATCATCATCATCATCATCATCATCATCATCATCATCATCATCATCATCATCATCGTCATCATCATCATCATCATCATCATCAGCAGCAGCAGCAGCAGCAGCATCATCAGCATCATCATCATCCTCATCGTCATCATCGTCATCATCATCATCGTCGGGCATCATCATCATCATCAGCATCATCAGCGTCATCATCGTCGTCGTTGTCGTCATCGTCATCACCATCGTCGTCAGCACCACCGCCGCCGTCATCGTCGTTATCGTCGATGTCGTTGGCATCATCAAATTTATGCGCGCGGGCACATCATCAATATCAGCACCGCCGTCATCGTCGTAATCAACATCAGCATCATCAGCAGCATTATCATCATCATAGTCATTCGGATCGTCACCATTAACACCGGCATCATCCTAATCGTCGTCGTCATCAGCATCATCATCATCATCGTCGCCAGCGTCAACGTTGCCATCGTCATTATCACTACCATCAGCCTTATCACCATCACCATCGTCGTTGTCGACATCACATCGTCCCCATTATCACTGTCATCATCATCGGCATCAGCATCATCACCACTGTCGTCGCCGTCGTTGTTGGCGTCGTGGTCGTCCCCATCGCCACCGTCATTTCGCGACCTGCAGGACGGACTTGTCTGCGCGGTTGAGATCCACGCGCCCGTGCGATCGTTGAGACGATGGCCCGATGTTATGTGCCAATAAATTGTGGTTGGGAGGGTGGGATGTTTGCACCAGCAGTGGAGTTGACGATATCAAGTTCTTCATTCGTAGCCCCGTAGGCACCCCATAAAATCGCTCCCCATCTGTGTCGGGGGATTCTCACCCTCATCCTCCTCGCCCTCATCCCCGTCATCCTCATCCTCCCGATGCTGTCCGTAGCCATCGGCCTGAGGGCTGTTTCACCAAAGCCAACTCAGCTTACTGGCATTCTCCTTGCGGGAAGAAGGGCAGTGCCAGGGACACCCTCGAGCAGTCAGCAGAGGCTTGGCATCGCTCGGACGTGTGCATTTTTCCTTCGGCGAGGAGCATCGAGGAGCATCCTTGCTCATTTGGCAAAAAACACGCACGAAACCGAAACAAAAACACAGGGAATGGACGTCCGAGCGATGGCGAGAGAGGGCAGTGCCAGGGGCCCCCTCGAGCAGTCAGCACCGCGCGGGTGTTCCTTTGGCCAGTGTGCTCCCCACCTGCAGGTAAGTCGGGCGTGTCCCGCTACAGGAGGAACATTCAAAAATAATCGAAAAATAGTCTGGGGACGAATTTGTTGACTAGTTTAAACTATTTTGGGGATATTTTTGGGGGTCGTTTTTTATTTCTCGTCCAAAACCCGCCTGTAGGGGGACACGCCCGACCTAAACCTGCAGGGCGGATACGCAGACCGCCAATCTGCGGCCACCCAGGTCCAAACGCGTTGATCTCGCGCATGCTGCCAGCACGTGCCCTCTCTGCGCTTGCCTGTTCGCCTGGCACTCTGCGGATCGGAGAGTCTCTCGCCCTGTCGTATCCGTGGCCAGCCATTCCGGCCCGAGCCCCTCCAGGCGGATGGCGGCGCCGGTGGCGAGCCGTCGCGCCCGCCCGCGCGCCAGCTCGACGCGGCCCCCGTGGGCGCGCCGGGGCTCCTGCGGCGCGGGCCCTCGCGCGCTCCTGGCCAGCGCGTGGGCCGCCTGGGGTGCCGCGCCGCTGTGGGGCCCTGCCGCCAGGCCCCGGCCCGCCTTCGCCGCCCCCGCCGGCGCGGCCGGGGTGATGGGCCCGTTGTCCACCATCACCACCGCAAGTTGGAGGGGGGAAGGAGGTGGAGGAGGAGGAGGAGGAGGACGAAGAGGAGGAGGAGGAGGAGGAGGAGGAGGAGGAGGAGGAGGAGGAGGAGGACCCCCTCCCCCTCCTACTCGTGGCGGTGGCGGTGGAAGGCGAGCCCACCAGGATGGGCCGCCGCTGGTGTCTGGCGAGGAGCTGCGGCGCCGCCTCTACGCCTCGGGCGGGCTGTGGGGGACGCGCCTGCACGTGGCGATCCGGTGCGGCGAGGGCCCGCCCAGGTTTCGGGGGCCCCCGAACGGGGTGGTGACTGACCACTCCGTGTGGTGAGTCCGCGGGGGTTCGGAGTCACCGCGAGGAGAAGGAGGAGGAGGAGGAGGAGGAGGAGGAGGAGGAGGAGGAGGAGGTGTTGGGACTCGGGTCGTTCTCCGAGGACGTCTCGGGCGACTGGGGCCTCCAGGGTCGCCAGACCGTGCGGTGACGGACCGTGCGGTCCCAGACATGCGACGTCCCGATGTTTTCAGGACGGCGTCCCCAGAAGCCTCGACCGTTTCCCCGGGGCCGGTTTTTCATTCTGAGTCGTTTTTTGACGGTCCCGAGGCCCGGCGAGGGCCCCCCGGGGCCGAAAATAGCCCAAAGCCTCCCGTCCTGATTTTTTTACGACGCGATCATGTCTGGGGTGAGGCCTTGGGGGATCTCGCGAGGTTACCGCACGGTCCGTCACCGCCCTGTTTCGGGGCTCCGAGAGGTTTCGCCTCGCGTACATGGCGATGCGCAACCGGCTGGAGGTGGCCCGGCTGGTCCTGGAGGAGGCCGCTTGCCCCTACGAGCTGGAGGTCTCGGTATCGTTTATCCGATCCCCATCCCCATCTCGATCGCCTTCGAGACCCCCACCAAATTACCACCCCAGTTGGGGATACACCCCTGGAAGCCCGAAGAGAACGACCTAACGACCTACATCCCCATCTTGGGGGGTAGATCGGCCAGTGGGGCCCAGGCCACGACGCTGGGGATGAGGATCGATGAAAGGATACTCGAGGTCATTGGCTTCGAGAACTGGCGGGACTTCAAGCAGCGGATGCCGCACGGCAAGGTGCCCGTCCTCTACGATTTCGACGGGGCGGGGAACGCGCTGGCCGAGGAGACCGCCATCACGCAGTTTCTGGCGAAGCAGGTCGGCCTGGCGGGCAGGTCGGACGCGGAGGAGGCTGCCGCGAATTCGCTGTACCAGCTCTACTGGTGCACCTTCCGGAACAACGGCGTGACGCACGACGGCGACCTGTATTCCGCACCCAAGCTCCGAGAGTTCAAGGGGCAGAGCTGGCCGCACTACAAGGAGATGCACCGCGTCAACAACTTCACGGCCGCCGAGCGCAGCCTCGCTGCGCTGGGCATGTTCGAGGAGCGGCTGGCCGAGTCGGGGACCGGCTTCCTGGTCGGCGACGCGCCCACCTACGTGGACCTCGCGCTCTTCAACGACCTCTTCGAGCTCGCGGAGGAGGACAACGTGCCCGACTTCGCCGCCCGCTTCGGCCTCCCCCGGCTCGGGGCCTTCCTGCGGGCCTTCGAGGCCCGCCCCAGGATCCGGGCCTACCTCGAGTCGCCGGGCCGCGTCCCGCGCTACTCCCGGGCCAGCCACCACTGGGGGAGCTGTGGTCCCTACCCCCCCTGGGGGACCCATCGCTTTCGACACCCCTCTCGAGAGCTCGTCGCTGCGATGGGTTCCCCCCAGGGGGGTAAGGAGACCACAGCTCCCCCAGTAACTGGGGGAGCTCCCCCAGTAACTGGGGGAGCTGTGGTCCCTACGCCCCCGGGGGACCCATCGCTCTCGACACCCCCCTCGAGAGCTTGTCGCTGCGATGGGCTTTCCCCCAGGGGGTAAAAGGACCACAGCTCCCCCGGCTGTGGCTGGCCGGCCTCCCGGCCCTCCGGCGCCCCCGGCAGCGCGGCGCGCATGGCCTCCGGTTATGCCTACTGCCCCGGCAGGTACTCCCCGCGGCCCGCGGCCCGCTAGCGGGTCCGCCGCCACGCACGGCGGGCGCCGGCCACGGCGGGCGCTGTCCACCGAGCGAGCGGTGCCAACGACGACGACGACGACGACGACGACGACGGCGACGACGACGACGACGACGACGACGACGACGACGACGGCGACGGCGACGGCGACGGCGACGGCGACGGCGACGGCGACGGCGGCGCCCTGCAGAGGCCGCAGAAGGGCCAAGAATGGCAACACTGATCGATGTGTTTGAATCCTCGAGCCTCCTGCCCAGCTCCTCCTTCTCCTCCGCCTCCTCCTCCTCCTCCTCCTTCTATTCCTCTTCCTCCTTCTCCTCCTCCTCCTCCTCCTCCTCCTTTGGCCCTCTTCCTTGTGGGTAACTCCTCCCTGTCGCACCCCCAGACGTGTCAGTAGGGCGGGCCGGGCGTTTCGCCCGAGACTGCCCCGCCACTTGGGATCCCGGTGCTTGAGTTTGGCAGCCGCTGCACGGTCGGAGGGCGGGCGGGCTTCCAAAAGCGGTTTCGGCCTTGGCACCGCACACATTTTTGGTCTGCGGGTCGAGAGCGAGCCTCTTCTGGTTCAGAGCTAGGAACCCAGACCCCCTCGAGTAATGAAAAAATCATGACGGGATATTTTTCCTAATTTTCGGCCTCCGGGGGCCCTCACCGGGCCTCGGGAGCGTCAAAAAACGACTCGGGATGCAAAGCCGGCCATGGGGAAAGGGTCCAGACCTCTGGGGGTCGACGTAATGAAAAAATCATTACGTCGGGGGTCTGGGAAGGCCGCGCAAAGCACTAATTGGGGAGACAGAGCGCGGGCGGGCGGGGCCTCAGGCGGCCGGAGGGCGCGGGGTGCAGGCGGCGCTGAGGAGCTCGCACAGGAAGAGGTACACCTTGGACAGGAGCCGGAGGCGAAGTCCCGGAGGGAGTGGCATCGCACACATTCGCCTTAGAAGTTCATTGCGATTTCAAGGATGGACGGCGGGTCGGTTTCAAGATGCGGCTCTCGCATTAGCGCTGCGCGTATTCATCCTAAAAGGCTGCAGCAATTTAAAGGGTTGAGGGCGGGCCGTTTCTTATGTGATTTTTGCTTCAGCACCGCGCACATTCAGCGTAGAAGTTTGCAGCATATCCGCGGATGGAAAGTGATTCCTTTGCAAATGCAAATGTGGCTCTCGCATCAGCGCCGCGGTCATTCGTAGTCTAAGATTACAGCATATTTTAGCCGTTTCAAGGCTGTTGAAGCCTAAGAACGGTGTTATGGCACGTCTTAGGGTCGTCATAACGCGACTGTCACATGCGCGGTTTTGAAGTCCCAGGAACGGCGCCGCGTTGGCACGATTTAGGATTGTCAGGGCGCAACAGTCACGTTGATTCGCGGCGTTGAAGTTCCAGGAATTGCTTGTGGGCACGATTGATGAGTCTAAGACGGCTGTTCTCCAACGGGGCACATTCCACAATGAACATAGATTATTGCAGGACCTATGAAGAGGGAATTTGGAGGGAGGGTGTATTGCAAGATCGTTGATGCGTCTTGGGTTTGCACTTGTCCTCCTCCTCCTCCTCCTGCTCCTCCTCCTCCTCCTCCCCCTCCTCCTCCTCCTTCTCCTCCTCCTCCTCCTCTCATCATCCTTCTCCTCCTCCTCCTCCTGCTCCTCCTCCTTCTCCCTCATCGTCCTCGTCGACGTCCTCCCTTGCTCCTTGGGGGGCGGCATGCGCGAGTGCGGCGCAACCCAGCTGGCAACTGACAGGAACTGGCCGTTGGCCCCGACGTCGCGAACCGTGGCAACCATCCGAATGCTGCCGTTGCCCTCCTCCTCCTCCTCCTCCTCCTCCTCCTCCCCTCCTCCTCCTCACTCCTCCTCTCTCCTCCTCCCCCTCCTCCAACTTCTCCTCCTCCTCCTCCTCCTCCTCCTCCACCTCGTCTCCTCTGCTTCTCCCTCGTCTGCAACTGCTCGTCATCTCTCCTCGATATGATCCTCCTCCTGCTCCTCCTTCTCCTCCCCTCCTCCTCCTGCCTCTCCTCCTCCTCCTCCTCCTACTCTCCTCCTCCTCCTCCTCCTCCTCCTCCTCCTCCTCCTCCTCCTCCTCTCCTCCTCCTCCTCCCTCCCCCCTCCTCCTCCTCCTCCCTCCTCCCCGCCTCCTCCTCCTCCTCCTCCTCCTCTCCTCCTCAGTTCCGAGGTCCCCTGGAAGTTTCTGCTCCCCATTCCCCGTCCCCTTCTCCTTCTCTTGCTTCTCTCCTCCCCCTCTTCCTCCTCCGCCCCCATCCTTCCTCTCCTCCTCCTCCTTTCCTCGCCTCCTCCTCCTCTCCTCCTCTCCTCACTCCTCCTCCTCTCCTCCTCCTCCTCCCTCCCCTCCTCTTTTTTTCCCCCCCCACCTGCTCCTCCTGCTCCTCCTGCTCCTCCTCCTCCTCCTTCTCCTCCTCCTCCCACTCCTCCTCCGAGGTCTCTGGAAGTTTCGGGAGAAGCCCGGGGCACCCCTGGAGACCTGGAGACCCTTCGAGGGCTAGATTATTCTGCACAAGAGATATCGATGATCCTCCTCCTCCTCCTCCTCCTCCTCCTCGTGCTCCTCCTCCTCTTCTTTCTCCTCCTCCACCTCCTTCTCCTCCACCATTCTTCCCCTCCTTCCTTCCTCCTTCCTTCCTCCAACTTCCCTCCTCCACCTCCACCTTCCTTCCTCCACCCCCACCTTCCTCCACCTTCCTTCCTTCCTCCACCTCCTCCCCTTCCCATCCTTTCCTCCACCTTCCGTCCTCCACCTCCACCTCGTCTCCTCCGTCTCCTCCATCTCCTCTTCTCCGCCTTGCTTTTCCTCCTCCTCCTCCTCCTCCTCCTCCTCCTCGTCACCCTCCTCATCTTCCTGTTTCCCCCCTCCGTGGCAGGACTCCCGAGCCATGCAGGTGGCGCAGGCCATCCTGGAGTCGCAGTGCGGCAACAGCGGTGCGGCAACCCTTGTCCAGGAGCCCGCCCCGGCACCGGGAGCGGATCGGGCCCCCTCTCTTCGTTCAGGAGGGAGGGAGGGAGGGGGGAGGAGGAGGAGGACGAGAAGGGAGGAGGGAGGAGAAGACGAGGAGGAGGAGGAGGAGGATAAGGAAGAGAGGAAGGTGAAGGAGGAGGAGGGATGGGAGG